CCTAGATGAACCTTAGACTACCACATTAATCTAATACAATGCAAAAAAAACCTATCAAAAGTGGTTAAAACATTCAAACCGAATGTCGTAAAGTCCCCATATACCCCCATAGAGACAATAAAATTGAGTACTCTAAAGTAAGAGTACAGTTTCAGGTTGTTCAGCCGAGCGTGGATGAGCCCGCAGCCGTGCTACAAAATTTGTTTTGGGGTATGATACTCCGAAATGCGATCTGACACACACCTTGAAAACGGATAGCGTGGTCCGATATACCGGTTAATTCAGGATCCTTAGGTGCCGAGTCTGGTAGTTGGGTAGGCCTGACAGTGTATTATTTGACATACATACCGAGAAAAAAAAACAGTCATTTCATCCTAAAACACCCCTAAAACCGAATAAAGTGACCCTATATCACGCTCTAGAGATGTTATACGGATTAAACTCGTCCACGTGCGCTTAGTCACCTCCCGCCAAATTCTTACGTAATGTCTGACCAATTTGGTCAATTTTTGCTAAATACTTGTCGTGGACGTTCATCTGGCTTGAAAAGTATTTAATCAACCGTCGACACTGACCATGCGCGTCTCAGCTGAGCCACACCTAGCTGGGACTGCTGCGGAAAAAAAGGTCTCAAGGCAAAACCTCTCCTTTTTAGTGACATTTCTGATTAGAAAGGAGCGTCGGACCGGAATATAGTCAAACTTATTTTTCACAAGTGCAAAGGAGAAAGAAATTTACTTTTTGGTGATATTTCTGACAACGAGGCAGTTTCGGAATATAGTCAAAATCGACGGATGTTTATTACAAGTTCATGGGAGTAATAATTCTAGTTTTTTTATTGTTATTTCTGACGACGAGGCGGTTACGGAATATAGTCAAAATCGACGGATGTTTATTACAAGTTCACGGGAGTAATAATTCTAGTTTTTTATTGTCATTTCTGACGACGAGGCGGTTACGGAATATAGTCAAAATCAAACGGATGTTTATTTCAAGTCCACAGGAGTAATAATTCTACGTTTTTGGTGACATTTTTTGCTACGAGACGGTTTCGGAATATACATGTGCTGGTTGTCATAGCATTCATGTGCTACATGTTATTACAAGTTCAAAGGGGGAATACATTTGATTTTTACCGATATATCTGATAAAGAGGAAGAATGAACAGCTTAAAAACAAAAGGTAAATAACACAACCCTCGTTAAAAAAGTTATAGATTTACAAATAATTTGTATACACGTGAGGCTTAAATGTAAACTAATTCCCGTTTTCAAACCATACCCATATGATATGACTTACTGTAATAAAATGCTAAATAATAATTGTTAAACGTGAAAAGTTTATGCTAATTTATTTAAGAGTGTGAGAGATTTTAAATTTGTCTACTGGTAGGTATATAACGTAAGCAACGTCACTATTCTCTTGATGCCAAGAAGGTCACATGATCACTCTGTCTTTGGCTTTCAGCATTTAAGAGACCTAGACTGATTTAACCATGATGTAGTCGTGAAATTCTAGACTACATCGAGGTTAAATCCGAGTTTTCCGAGAGACGCTACGCAGAAATGTCGAGTGAAGCGAGACATTTTTTGGGTAGCGGCTCGAGGTTGCCCTCGATCTTCACTGAAGCTTGGCTAAATGGACAAGCTTCAGTGATCATCATATCGCCACGGTCATATAACATCCCTAGGTATGTATATGTAGATATCTAAATAGAATATGTCAGTCTACTGGAAATTACTGCTAATTAACTACCTTTACCAACTAAGGTATGATGAGAAAAATTTCTTTATATAATTTATCCAGTTTTTTTAGCTCCAAATCTCTATTATTTATCATCACGAATGCAATTCACCATTTCACCATTTCTAGCATGACTCAAAGCTAGAAATTTGAGACTCAAAATCGAGTGTATAGACTGTGATCCTGTATAGATTCTGTATATCTTTGGTCTGGTATACCTCGGTGATTTAAGGAATAAGGGATAAAATCTTGAGAAAATTTAAAATTATCCTGTAGGGAGGCCTACCACTCTGTTCTGATAAAAACAATACTAGTAGGCCTATTCTTGCCTATCTCATACATCTTTCTCTTCCAAGCATGTCACCTGTACCACTGTCCCTAATTGTGCACACACCATACCGTATGTTTTAAACGTACTAAATGATTTAAAATATTGAAAAGTTCATAAGATATAAAAGATTGGACAAACCGATAGAAACACTGAAAAACACAAAGTTGCAGCCTCTAAACCAACGTTCACATAGTCTCCCAATACAATTAAGTACCTTGATTGCAATTGTAAACGAACATTAATCTTATTGTGGACATATTTGACAATTGTCACTATAGTTTTAAAACGCATTGCAAAATTCACATTCAATGTAAAAGCATATTGTAAGGGAATAGATAAAATAACGAAATGTTCCAGTATAATCACTTCCCAGGCAGTTGGAGTATTGGTTGCAAGGACAGACTGGAGCTCGCTGTGCGCAAAATGAAGAAAGCGCACGGCAGAAAGAAGTTTGATTTTCTTCCACCGACTTTTATCCTTCCAGAGGAAACCAACTTACTCAAGAAAGCATGGGGCAGTAAGCCGAAGGGGAATCTGTGGATTCTTAAACCGGTAAGATAAAATTTACCGTATCCATGCATATGCAATCGTAGGCAAGGTTTTGACGAGAGGATATAACTGTATTTAATGTAATGTAATGTTATGTAATGTAATGTAATGTAATGCAATGCAATTTAATGTCATGTAATGTAATGTAATGCAATGCAATGCAATGCAATGCAATGCATTTGTAATGAAATGTAATGTAATGTCGAATGTAGGAGGAAAAGTCATATGTTTCACACTGATCTTCACCAAAAAGATGTAATTTTTGTTTATGGGAAGCCATGTTTTCATGGTGGAAGGGGCATTGAAGTGATACGACGACAGGAAGAGATCCCTGCTTACACCAGGATTGTGGTACAAAGGTAGAATGTTATCTTGTCAACAGTAAAACTTTTGGCTGGTGTGTGTGTTCGTTTGTGCGTTGGTTTATGTTTGTGCTTGTGTGGCTATGTTTTTGTGTGTGTCAAATAGTTGGTATAAGTGATTTTTATGAATTGTTTTATGAGAAAAACACTTTGAAAATTCAAGAGGTGCACGTCACGTACAGTATATTTACTTTTCTATTTAAAATTAAAAAAAACTTGTTAAAACAATAATCATTGCTTCTCCCTACCTTATCGTGATACAGTTAATCCGCTCGATTTCTGTTTTATAACACCTTGGTTTTATTCACTTCCAGATATATATCCAACCCTTACCTCATAGATGGTTATAAGTTTGACATGAGGATCTACGCCTACGTCCCCAGTATAAACCCACTAAGAGTGTACCTGTACCCTGATGGTGTGGTCAAGTTTGCCACAAAGAAGTATGTAACTGTCGTTGTTGTTCTTGTAAAAAATAGACTGTGATGCACTGTGATGTAGACTTATTAAATTAATGGAAAGTCTAAGCGAATGAAAGTGTACGCATTTACATGTATCATGACTTAATTCAATATTATATCATTTTTTATCTAGGTTTTCAACGGACGACCTTGACACTATGGTCCATCTCACCAATATTGAGGTAAACGCCAAGAATCCAGCATATACATTGGATTATTCACTGAATACAGGACACAAAAGGTGCGATTTATCCCTTTCACTGCTGTAAGTCATTATTAGGTAGCATGTTCAACATAAAGAAATAGTACGTTTACACAGGTTTGGCATCCTTCTGGACTTTAACTATGGCGTCACCAGCATCATAAATTGATGAGGCTGCATATTTTAAACTAATTCGTTATAGCTTTTTTTGGTCAAACATAAGTGTCTCTTTATTAGTATCATTATTTTCTTTTTTATCAAACATTTAATGATGCAACCGTGTAAAAAAAGAATTTGTATTTCCCTGTGCTTGCTTACGAATAGTGTTCTCTTCTTCAGGTCACTAAGTGCATTAAAGGAATATCTTAAAACAAACAACGGGACTGACTGGATGCCAATATGGGAGGAAATCAAAGATATCGTCCTTAAAACGATTATCAGGTAAATTCACCCGTTTACCTCTCTGGCACCATCTCATACGAAAACATTGCTGTGTATGAGGAAGTGAATTAAAATCGAACAAACCTAAAAGAATGTAACATGTATCTTACATAGGTATGAGTTAGAGATGAATCTTTATATAATACTAACGGTGAATTAAGCTACGTAATTTTGAAACTTAGACAATGAACTATTTTGGAGCTATGACAATGACCTATATGCGATGGAAAACAAATAGGGTATCCTTGTTTGGCGTTTGAAATTGTAAAGTCTGCTATATTCGCAGTAAATGAAAATTAGCCACGCCCAAAAGTAGGTAAGTTTTTTCCCATATCTTCCAGGATTTATATTTACTTTGTTTCAATAGACCCACACGCATTTACAGTTTTAGTGGCCAGTTCTTTCATTAACAGCTGCTAACAAGAAGTATGTTTCGAAAAAGGTCATGCTCTCTCTTCCATAAAATCCCATTGTTCGTATGCATAAAGTAACTGTTGTTTTTCCCTCAAAACAGCGGAGAGTCCGAGATAAATGAGGGAGTACAAATTTACCTGCAGAGCAAATACAGCGGGCATGAGCTGTTCGGTTTTGATATACTTCTGGACCAGAACTTGAAGCCTTGGGTCCTAGAGGTCAACATAGCACCTGGGTAAGAGTTTTTCAAAATATGTAATAAAAGAAAAGGGCACTAATATTTAAAGTTATTTAACTCTGATGAATGAATTTGATGTTGGCTTTCAATTATTGTCAAAGCCCCAACTTAACTTTGAAGGATGTGAAAGTCGACAAAAATTAGTATTCCACGTGGTCGCAACCTCGGCATACAGGGTATTAAGAAGCTTATTTTGAGACTTTCATCGGCTACGATGTATCTTCTGATATCAGACTTACTGAATGAATCTACTCCTTTACATTATACAGGTTATACCCACACTCCGGTCACTTCCGCCCGGTCAATGACCCCATGGCCAAGGACATGCTGAATTTGGCCGGGTTCAGAATTCCTGGTGATCAGAGTACAGACAAAGAGAATAGTAACACTAGGTAAGACATTCCGCTCTGGACAACTGTGTAAATCATTTTCTCATAATACTGGGATATTTTAACTTGAACTAGCTACAAACTGTTCTTCATTTGTTGGTAAAGCTTACTATATTTATGAATTGTGTTTAAATGACAGCCTCTATTGAAAACGACTTACAAGTTATCTAGTAGTAATAGAAAAAAATTTAAACATTTATCACATTGCATATTGATCTGTTCCTAATATCCTCATTGCTACAATACAAACAATTCGCTGTCTCAAGCGTAATGATGGTAAAAGTGGTTTCTAAAAATGACTAAATATATAATACCTATGAAGCATCACGTTTCGATCGTTCATCTTGGAGGAAGGCTCTCTATTGTTAGGGGCAAAAATGTCATGACTCAAAAGGGAAAATATGCCTAGTTTATAAAGAGGGAATTTGCATTT